GCAAGAACGTGCTCGCTCATCAATAAAGACGTTAGTTCAAGCAAAAGTTATTTATACTGCTCCTTTGTTCTATGCCGCTAAAGGATTGTGGTATATTAAACAAAACAAAAGTTCCACTGTAACTCTAAATCCGTAAGGAAGCGAAAACGCTTGGATTTTTTCACCGTTTTAAAGTTGTCCAATGTGTGTATGTGTTCAGCCCAGTGGGGGGCGGGGTACTCCGAGGGATTAAGAGACAGGGATGATTGAATGGGAAAAAAAAAAAAATCCCTAGGACTTCAAACAAAACGCAAAAAACTTCCTGGACCAAAATTTAACCCGCAAAAAAATCCCGTGCTAAGCCATTAAAATTTCCAGGAAGCGTTAAATGATATACGCGAATCTTCAGATTGTTTTGAATACCCAAATCAATCCCTACTTAAATCAAGCTGCCCAAAGAATACTTGCCAAAATTTTCCTCCCCAAACAAATCCAAAAGTCGAAAATTGCAAAACAAAAAAATCCTTTGATCATCCCTGTCACTTGAAATCCGGAGTACTCCCCCCCCCGCTCTTTGCTTGCTGGGGTTTATAGTGCGCTTCTCAGCACTTGTGAATTTGTAATTGTCTTCTGAATGTTCTTGAATCAATTTCCAGATAATTTCAAGTTGGCAAGTGGCAATAGTATGAACCACCACTAGTTAAAGAGCAACGTTTTTTTCCATTTCTCCACTAAGAGAAGACGCTGAGTTTAGCGGAAATTGTTGAAATTGAAAAGAATATCAGAGCAGTAGGCAGCTGCTGTATGGATCAATCCAGTTATTTCAATTGTTGTTCCTGCAAGCACGAAAATTCAAACAATCTGGATTTTTTGGGACGCGTACTGTCCGGATATTAGGGTGTGATAACCAAGATAAGACAATTTGTAATCGTTTTGAAATGTTAATATTAACACAATTAATTTTGAAAATGAGGCAAAGTTTACGTTAGGTTTATAGAAAAAAAGCTTTGGTTTACCATGTTTATCACCGCCTCTCGCCGTGTTTTTCTTTTTACATCAATCTAGTATGATGACCTAAGAAGATTATAGCAAAACCAGTTTTACCAGTTAGCTCTGATTCTCCGCATTTTGTAAAATAAAATTATTAGAATTTTTAACCTATAGTTTCTATTAAGTCTAATCACAAATATACTAGCCACGGGAAAAAAAAATTAAAATGTCAGATTGGACATAGGATATTGAATAAGTGAATGTGATCATACCCGCTGGAAAAATGGCTAATTCAAGAAAATTAGTTAGCTGAAAAAAGCGCAAAAATCTATCGGGAGAAAAAAAAGCTATAGAAATATGAGCTGAAGTTTTTGAAAAATAAATCCATCATCCGAACTTCAAGAGTCTGTCAAGCCAAGTTCGTTAAAGAACTCTTCAGATTTAGATTCTCTTACATATGCTGGATACTACTTCCGGTGCGCCTCGGTTTTTTTTTAATTCAAGCCTATGTAAGCTGGATTTTTCTGCATTCAGTATCAAACTGAAGTTAGTGGAGTCTAACTAATCCGTCTATGGCCTGCGTGGCAGGTGCTTGAAATTGAAGGGAAAGGGGGCTTTTAGGCGCCCCCTCGCGTTTCTTTCGCGTTCAAAACCCCCTTTCTCTTCCTTTTCAAACGCCTGTCACGCCTGCTAATCTGTCTATTTTGGCGTATTTTGGCGTCTGTCTGTGCATGGACGGCGGCCGACAAACCGTCTTTACTCTTTATGAAAACGACCAATCCTGCATTTATGTCTTCGGCACTGTACTTGCTCTCGATATTGGTCCCGGCGTAACCACTTGAACTGCCGTTCGGTAATGGAACTTAATCGAACTCAGTCGAAGGTTTGGGTTCGATTAAGTTCGGTAATCGAACACAGTCGAACCAAAAAAAATCGTGAGAGTTCTATTTCCGCACCCAATCGAAACAATCGAACTTAATTGAACGTTATAATCAACACTCAAAATAGGCAAGAACAAAGCAACAAAACAACCAGATTATCTATGATCATGAAGAATAAATGTTCCGGGTTTATTGAATTCGCTTGATCGCTTTGTTTTACTGTAGCGCTGCTTAGTTTCCTTGGTCTACGTGGCAGATACAAAAGTGGAGAAGGTCTGAACCTATAAGGGACGCTATAAAGTAAAAAAGTCTTTAACGGAGCATAATATTCAGTGTGTGATTGAGGATAAAATTGCAATATGGCAATGATAGTCTTTATTTATTTATTTATTTATTTATTACAATCTATGGATTAAAAACCAAAGGATGAACTGTTAAGGAGTTTTAGACCCAATATAAAAACAGATCACCTAGAAATATATAAAACACAATAAAATAATATTTTTAGAAAATACAGAAATATGAAAGCTACTTAAAAATCACTGAAAATTTGCCTAACTGTAGACTGAAAAATATTTACTTTATCAGAAACACGAATGTCTAACGGTAGTTGATTCCACTGGTCAGTAATTCTATGGAAAAACTATACTTCAGAACATTAGATCTGGCTTATTTCTTCTTTAAAGTTAAAGAGTCCTTAGCCCTAAGTTTAGAAGCGGTCAGCCTCTGAGTGGAAATCTATAATATTACTGATGTCAATATCAATGTTGCCATTTAGTACTTTATATAAGAAAGTCACATCAGCCAGTGATCTTCTCTTCTCCAGTGACAGGAGGTTTAACTTCTTCAGACGAATGCATGTGTCATAGGGATCATCACTGTTTAAGATAAGTTTAGTCGCTCTTCTCTGTACTCTTTCGAGTTTATCAGTATCTCTCTTTGTATGTGGGGACCACACCACTGAACAATATTCCAAATTTGAGCGGACCAATGAGCAGTAAAGAGTACGCAAGGTCTTAGGGTCATCCAGACCTTTAAAAGTTCTCTTAATCAGACCCAGCATACTGTTAGCCTTGGATACTACGTAATCTATAGTCTTGTTCTTCCCGGGTGTTCTTGTTCTTCTTCTTGCAAAAAAAATACACTATACTGTACACTGATCCGCCACAACCACTCCCGGAATATACTCAGAGGTAGGACATCCTATAAAAAGTAAACAATCGGGAAAATACGCGCAATTTTCCTTTATAACGTCCCATTTTTAATCGAATGAATCATCGAACCTAATCGAACTCAATCAAAGTTCGATTGTACCCCGGAGGGGGTGGACGGTGGGCGAGAAAAACAGAGTTTCGCCTCCTCCCAAGCCGCCCCCGCCCTCTAGGTAGTTTTGACACTCATGCAAGATGGGTAGCCCGTAACGCAAAGCCGGCTCTCGATCTCCATGATCTTACGAAAAAATAGATGACTGTGAACAGTCTAAATCAGCCTGACATTTCAGACGTCTCCTCGAGTCGCAAGGAGGAGTTTGCGACTCGTGGAGACGGCTGAAATTCAAGCTAGTTTACAGTCCCCTCTTTTTTCCCACCTGGTTGAGGATGGCGATCGCCGCTGTGATTTAATTTGGGCATCCCCTGTGACGTTACATTTTTTTTTTCACTCTGTGTGCTGAAATGCTGTCCCCCCCCATATTTCGAGCCCAAGCCTAATTTATCGAAGACACTTAAAGGTTTGCTCATGCGACTTGTTATTTTTGAAAACACTATTTTTCAGTTAAAGTCTCTGAATCACAGTATTCGTTTGTCCGGGCCAAAGGTGAATAGAAAGGAAAGGAACCGTCCGTCTTTGTTTGTTTGTTTTTTGTTCCACCTTGCTAAATATATCATCATCTCGGAGCACGTGGTTTCGTCGTGTCAGAGTCCTGTCTGGGATCTGAAACGGGCATAGGAAGTCTGTGTGGATCTGCATGATCACGGGAATCACAACAGCCCCTCCCACAAATTATTTGCGACAAAATATTGTTTTCTCATACCCGGAGATGATACGAGTTTCTTTTTCTTCATTTCTTTCTCTTTCGGTTTTTGTTATTTTACGTTATTATTAACTTTTATAAAAATTATTTTATTGTTATAATTATTTTTTTTAATTTTTTTTTTCATGAAAATTATTTTTATTTTTTCATGTTCCGGGATGTTCCGGAATGTTCCGGCATGTTCCGGAATGTTCCAGAATGTTCCATGTTCCGGGTTTTATCGACGCCCTCGAACATTATCGGTCGATTAAAAACGCTCTTTTTAGTTCGAGTGGTTACGCCGGGATTGGTAGAGGAAAAGTTTGAAAGCAGATTTCATCATCCTCTGACTTGTAGCAACCAGCTTGACATAACTTTTAGTAGAACTGTAGCCTGCGTAGCAAGCGTTTCCAATCGAGTTATTGCGCGAAAGTTAGAGCGGAAGCGAAAAAAAGGTTGAATTTTTTTTTTGCTCTTGTCCCAGCTTTCTAGACGAACCTCGCGAGGAAACGCTTGCTACGCAGGCTAGTACAACTGACAATCAGTCCATTGTCACTGAGAACCGTATTTAAAAAATAATGGAATTCCCTTTGAAGGACAAGAAACCAGGGAAAACACCAGAAGTCAAAGTTCAATCACAGAGTCAGATATGGATGCGTTTTGTTGTATTTTGTTAGTAACCGGGGACCGTTTTTCATTAATCTGATCAAAGTCCGTGGTTTTCACTTCACCCCGGCGCTCCACACCTGCCTCGGATTTGGCCTTGCTTGCTTGAAAAACTCGAAAAAATAACTCATGGGGCTGCAGCCTGCAGGAATATGGCCAACGAGAACAGCCCTCACTACCCCAAACACGTTTCTTGTTGTCTATCCCTAACCTTCCACGTCACCGGAAAAACGATTTGCACATAGAAGGAAGAGAGGCTACATAAAAGTAAATGCACTAAAAGTACAGCAATTGAATTCCTTGAAACTACCGAACAAACAAACAAGTAAAAAAAACCTTAGCTCACATTCTTCTCCTAACCATCCGGCTCACAATCTCCGACAATCTCCGACGATCATCCTCGACGGACCCCCGGCGGACCGCCGGCGTGTTTTTGTACTCTCCCCAGGTTTCTCTCACAATTCAAAATTAAGATGGCGGCGGATGTGTGAATCTGTGAATCCTCCAGACAGGCCATTTCTTGGTTGCATTTTCCCTCGTGTGATTTGATCAAGGCGGAAAGATCTTGTTATTTAAGGTGAGACAAGCTTTCAGTACATTAAGGATACGTTAGTCACACAGGTTACACAGGACACTGCCGTCCTCTTGCGAAATCTTTCAATGACACTGCAATGGTTTTTGATGGTAATGTACATCATGATCGCATCGATCACTTGATTTAAACTGCGTTCGGCATTTAGTCAAGCATATCATTCCGATTGCAGCGTAAGTTGGCCGATAAACCAATTTATTTCTGATCATTTTACACGCCCTGAAAGCTTCGGAAGTTGATCTGAAATGTGCGAACATAGAAGTGTCCTTTATTGCACTTTGACTGAAAATAAAATAATGTTCTATGGAGTAAGTATGTTCTAAGGGCATTTCTTACCTTAAACAAGACAGCAGATTTTATCCCGTGTAATTTTCTGATCAACTCTCCACTGTAATATATCTCTAAGTAGCTATGTAGCATCACTCCTTCCAGCCTGAGTGATTTTTATCTCATCTCACAACAAATTAAGTGACTTCGCTTGAGATAATCGGCAACAAAATTATTAAGGCATTTTACTCAACTAGGGTAATAAGTACAGAGAAGAAAAGAATCTACCTCCCTCCCCACTCGCCTTCATTCAAAGTTGCAGTTTTTGTTGCTTTAACTATAGGTAGCTCGAACAGCGACACAACATTGCATGGAGGGGATGGGGGAGGAAAAGCTTTATTTGCCGTTGAGAAGTCAGTAAAGCATCGGCTTTAGGGCAAAGTGTCTCAACTACTTTGTAATTTTGTTGCCGATTGTAGCTCTAGATTGTAACAATACACACTTTCCTCCACTTAAGAAAAGGAAACGAAAAATAGAACAGTTTATTGAATGTTGATTAATTATGCCAAACTCGTAATTGAATATGATTTATGCGCAAATGTTCCTTTTTTTTCACTCTAATGAATAGATCTTTGCGCTATTGATTGCTGTTTCATGCAAATGAATGCATATTTTCTCGCAATAAACAGCAAAAGGTGTAATTCTTATAAACTTTTCTTTTGATGATGCATGGATATTGTCAGGAGAAAATTAATGTTGGTCACTATTGGGACTTATAGCGAAATTTGTTGTATCCCGCTGCGCATTTTGCATATTTTGGGTTTTTGTTTTCCCTCAATCATCTTAGCGGACCTCTTAGGAAATACATATTTAGTTGCATGAGTTCAAAAGGTCATGGTTTGTCATTTGTGATTGGTGGATGTCGATCTGTTTTGTTTGTTTCCTATTACAAGGCTTGTTGCTTTGTGATCGTCCTGTTTTGGGCAATAATCGACTAGTTAAGTTTGCTTCGCAGGTTTTTAGGATTTTTCTCATTCTTGTCACTTGCAAGAATAAAGCAATGTCTGCCTACTTCTTTTGACAAAAAATCCACTCACCATCGTGATTTCCTTCGCTATTCTTGAGCAGTCGGAGTCATTCTCAGCCAAGCTGGGTGAACACGTTACATTGTGAGTTGCAGTAACCTTGCCTTCACTAATATGACTGACGGAACAGAAAAACCCAAAATCCGTTCTAAGTTTGCGAAACGTGCAGCACAATACAACAAATTACACTGTAAAGGGTTAACAAAGTGTCTATGTCTAAATGATCTTGAATAACTGCTATGAAGATTTTCAAAAACTGATATATTTTTGCAAGCCTTTCAAAAGTTTCCACAAAACCTACAGCAAAAAATAGGGAGGCGTAGATAACGCTAAATAAATGATAAAATAAACCTCTAATTGTACCATTCGTGTTCGTAGCAAGATAGAAAACACTACAAAGTTGCAAATTTAAAAATAAAATACTTTTTGTCATGTGTAAATGAAATCTCTTGCTGTTCCATGCATCACGACTTTGTATCATTTTACTACATGCAATAGTGACCTAACATTTCTAATGCTGGAGAAAAGGTATTGATTTTATTATTTACAGTTTTTCTAAGACTATGAAATTCATTTGACTCCATTTTGAGACAAGAAACTTCAACTACGCTGCAGCAAGACAAGTGCTTGTTTGTTTACATTTTATTGGTAGAAATATTTTTTTCCTATGGCTGACGACCAAACGTTTTCTGTTTTTGTCTCAAAAGTGCAGAATGAGCGGGGAATTTTGTTGTTAATTTAACGGAAGTTATACTGAGAATCATGATTTTCATGCACCCGTTCAGGCTTTTTGTTTCAAATTTTGGTCACCCATAAGTAAATTTTAGGAGCCTCTGGCGACCAGGCCCCTATTAGGCAGTAGCCTTGACACTGCCTAATGTAAAGGATGTACATACATACCTTGACAAGTACAGAAAAAGTTTTGATATTTCAAAAGTTAGACTTCATGCAAAAAATACTGAGTCAATTTTCCAAACTTTAAGATAAAAAACCTTTCGTTGTTCCTTTTTATTAACTTTGCATATGCACTTGTACATACAAGTGCTCTTGCCTTTATCATTTGCTGTTTTGCGAATGGTTGTTTGTATTTTTGTTGAGAAATAAATCGTGTCTCAAAATCCGTTCAAGTGGTGAATACAAAAAATGCCTGTTTCTCGAAATTAAAGACTCAATGTTTGCATTTTGAAACTCAATTTGTTGGAGTTTGAAGTATTCTTCTGTTTTCATTTCATCATGCAGTGCTCATTATCGTTGTGTAATGAGACAAAATTGTCTGTGTTTCAAGGAAAGAGAATGAAGTTTCGAGGAAGAGGTCAAGATTGTCAACTTTAGATACAGACACTATCAATATGGTCATTCTGATGAACTAATTAAAACTACAATCACAGACAAAATTAGTTGGGAAGGTTGTACAACTTAACAGTAGTCCATTTTAATCCTGAAAAAAGAGAGTTTTCTCTTTTGCTAAATATCCCCCGTCCCCCCTATTCAGTGTTGGGATATAACAGGACAATTACGCGCACAAACATTAACGTTTTGATCAATATGGGGCCAGGGGTGGGGGGAGGAAGAAAAAGAAGAGGTAAAAAAGGCAACCTTCCCAACACTTTTGATGATGATTGTAGAAGAATAGGAAATCAGCTTTAAACGCTTATAAAACTTGTCGTATTTAACATTTGATTGAGATTTCTCGCCCTGGAACTGTGCTGATAATGCACTTTTCAAACTATATAAAAAATATAATAAAGGTTATATTTCAGTAAAATCATAAATAGGAGAATTTTGCATCTGACGTGCGTGACATTTCATAGCGTGACCACAAAATCCACTGGGTGAAAACGCTTTCTTCTACATTTCAGGCCTTTAATTTTCCTCATGAAGCAAGAGGACATTTTCTTCGCGTGGACTACGTAGAAAGAATGGCCACGGGTGGTCTGTTTCACTAGATTTAACGAAAGTCATGAGGGTATTTTTAAGTAACAAGTGCTATACGATTGCTGTCGTTGTCATCCATACATGTATCTTTTTCATCAGTGGCATTATTCCTGGTTAACTTTTGCCGTTTCCGATCAGCGAAATATTTTGAAAGATGTTACAAATAGAAATGGCAGAAAGGCTGCCACAATAAAGTTTTTTTTCATTCCGGCGGTGTTAAACTATCCTAGAAAAACGTGATGTGTACAGTACCGCAAATGATCCCCAAAATGGACCGCAAATGATCCTCAAAGTCGACCGCAAATGATCCCGAAAGAAAAATAGGACTCAAGTTTGTGGATCATTGTGTCAATTTTATTATTATTATTACAAAACGTCACATTAAAAGCGAAATTTTGCTTCCCAAATAATTACATAAATAAAAAGTAAATGAAAAAATATCTTTCAAGACATCGTTAAATCAAAATGTCTATTGAGACATTTTTTCGTTGATAACAAACGAAAAATATAATATTCGTCAACTCTTTTGAAAACTGAATAAAGGCGGGATTTTTTCTTTCCAAATTTACACTGGCGTTTGTTTTTTTAGTTTTTAGAAGTTTTGTTTGGTTGAAATATTAATGGGGCCAGTAACTTGTTTACATGAGACGCCAACTGCATGTGCAAGTTATATTTAAGCATCCTACTAAGCTAGGTGCGTCTTCAAAGTTTAGTATAGAAGTGACATAGGAAAGATCTGCGATCACCGGGGACGTACGATAGCCCGAGTAGAGAGTCTGGGAGCAGAAAATCTAGAGGCTCAGGAACACTATTCCCGTTATAAGAATAGCACTTTTTTGTGTATTACTATGGTCCCGTCAGTCTCCAAATACTTGTTAAATGGAATACCTAGCCACGTGCTTACCGTAATCCGAATGTTGACATTGTTTCTGGCTGGGATAAGTAAAAATAAACATAACTACCGCTTACCTCGCTTTTGTGTTTTTCTTTACGAGGTTTAGATTCCTGGTAACTGTCTCCAGCAAAGGCACAACGAATGAATATATTTTTAAGCGTCAATATAACTATTCGCAACATGTTCATAAGCTGTAACGAAGTTGCTATTTCGAAATAAACCAAATTCTGTGAACGTTGATAAGTTCCGGGGCATTTTGACGTTTGTTTATTTTAAATCATGTCTTGTTTCGTTAAACAAGCACTTGGCTTACAAACAAATGTCTTGCTGTTTATCACGTAGAATTAACACTTCAGGGAATAATCATAATTAAATATCTGAAAATTAATTCGACACTTCCAAAAAGATCAGTAAAGTCAATTAAGCGCTTGTTATGTAAAGGGTTTCTGGCTTTGTATTCCTCAGCAGACAAGTTGAGCTTCTAGGCGTTACACAAATTTAATACAAAATTAAGGATTTTGTAGACACTATCAATATGGTCATTCTGATGAACTAATTAAAACTAGGTTTAGGTACACTGGCTGTAGGGGTCTGTTCTTGAAATACAATAAAACAAAAAATACCTCTAGTACAGGAAAAAGGAGATTGGCCCTTGAATGTTAGTTGATCCTTTACTACTGTATGCTACTATTTGTGCCCTTGAGTTGGATAAATAATAAATTTGAAGATTATCAATTAACAGTTTAGTGCACCGTTTGTTGTGAGCTAGAAGTGTGACATATTAATAAAGTTACTGTCTTTTTTATTGGGCCCGTAGAAATGTAGCTTTTTAGTTTAGGAGCCCAAAGGGCTCCCAAAAATTCTCTTAGGCAGCAGCCTTGCTCTAAGGTAAATGCAAATGTTCCCTCACACTTCCTAACCATTGGTTACTGCTAGTTATAGCAGTTCTAAATTTAATTCTGGTTTGAGATAAATGTGTTTCAAACTGGCAAAACCGGTGGTTCCATAGCTGATCGTGTTCCTTAAACTAATCAATATAAGGACCAAAGTCAGTTAAAAAAAAATTGGTATTATTTACTCTTTTTAAGTGAGACTTGAAATCATATTCATTATGTTAGCTAAATATATGCACCCCTCTTTCTTGGAAAAATGGTACCTACAGAACAACAATAAGGGTGGTCACTGGACTCTTACAAAGAGTAAGAGAATAAGCCAATTCCTAGAATAAACCCTGTTACTCTCGAGGGAGGATTTATAGTAATATAGGTTTCACTGTGTTGTCTGTATGAATGCTGTACGATGAATCTTAATTACCATTTTTTTTAAAAGTGTGTTATTTTACAAACCACAAGGAACTCTCAGATCCAAATACAAAGTCAACAAATAATCAATTGACCCATATTGATGGATTCTCTAGTTTGAAGGGTTCATGTAAAATTTAAGGTATGTAAACAGCTGGTTTATGGTGTGGAACCACTTTTTCATGAGCAGGTGTCTTAAAAGTTTTCTTATTTTCCACATGTCCCGGCAGAAATTATCTCAAATACGTCTTAGTCCATAAGTGTC